ATTTAGGGCCGGAGCCACTTTATTTGCATATTCATGAGCTTATTTATTATTCATGAGCTTTCCCGGGCCCCCCCAATATTTTTTATAAGTCCGCGTCCCTGAGAAAGAGATAAAATATTGAACCTGCATTATCAAAAGGCATTGGAGATTGAAAATAGTCAAGTACAAATCTTCAAAGATATCCCTAAATACATTTTGGAGGTGAGAGCCTTCTACAAAGATTTGGCCTACCTGCTGAAGAAAAATATCATACCTTTCAGGTGGGAGTTTCCACAAGGATTGTCCTTTAACTTTAAAGGAAGGAAGGTCAAAATAAGAACAGTCCAAGATAAAGAACAGTTTCTGGAGAGATACCAGGAGGACTTGCAGAAAGGAACAGTAGAAACAACATCAGAAGAAAAAGGATCGATAGATATTGCAAACTTATCATTTGGACTTATACCACCATCTGAAGACGAACAAAAGCTCGGAGCAGTCGGAGGAACAGGTACTTAATAACAAAATGTCTCTGCAACTTTTTAGTTGGAACTGCAATGGTTTGAACCTCCCCCGAAAAAGACGCCAAGTTTTCCATATTTTGAAGAGAGAACAATTAGACCTAATATGTCTACAAGAAACTCATGTGATCAGGATACATAGAAAATTACTGGTAAATAAGAGACTTGGACAGGAATTTATTTCATCAGATAAAGTTAAGAAAAGAGGTGTGGTGATTTATGCAAAAGAAAAATTGGCCCCAAAGATGATATTTAAAGATGAACAAGGAAGATACCTGGCAATTGAAATACAAGTTCAAGGAGAAAAAATTTTGATAGTTGGAATTTATGCACCAAATGATGGGAAGGCGGAATTCTTTAAGAAGTTGCATGAGACTTTAATGGACTATCTAGATTATAAAGTAGTAATGATGGGAGACATGAATGGTGTGGTCTCCACAAACATGGACAAGGCACAGAGACAAGTAATTTCCAAGGAAGGGAGATTACCAAAGACTTTCTTTGAAATGACTGAAACTATGGACTTGATTGACATTTGGAGAACAAGGAACCCTCTTGAGAGAGAGGGAACTTTTTTCTCTGAAGCAAAAATGACATGGACAAGAATTGACCAAATTTGGGTAACTAGTAGTATGGCGCCAAGGATAAAAAAAGTAGAAATCTGCCCAAAGACTTGCTCCGACCATAACGCTGTAAAGATGGAGATGAAACTAACATCAACTGGATCCTTTAGATGGAGAATGAATGACACCCTATTTAGAGATGAAGAGATTTACAAGAAGGCCCAAAAAACATTGAAAGATTACTTTGAGATAAATCTGAGAACAGAAGTGGAAAAAAGAATAATTTGGGACGCAAGCAAGGCCGTGATGCGAGGTTTCCTAATACAACAGAACTCCATAAAGAGGAAAAAGCAGAATGAGAGGAAAGAAATTTTTTTGGAAAAAATGAAAGAAGGTGAAAAGAAATTGGTACAAACCAAACGAGATAAGTAATTGTTTTCAAAGTTTCTTCAGGAAATTATATGCACAAGGGCCAGTTAACGAACAGGAAATAGAAGAATTTATCAAGAAATATGGATTACCAAAAATTTCAGAGCAAAGCAAAATGATTTTGAATGAGAAAATATCAGGACAAGAAATAGAGGGTGCCATTCAGAATATGCAACTGAGAAAATCTCCAGGACCAGATGGTTTGACCGCTAAATATTACAAAGCGTTGAAGGAATGGTTAGTACAACCACTGAAGGAAGTTTGTAACGAAATTTTGGAGGGGAAAAAGGCACCTGAATCGTGGAAAGAAGCTTTTATTTCACTTATACCGAAAACTGAGACTGAAAAGAACCAGGTTAAAAACTACCGCCCTATATCACTACTTAATGTGGATTACAAATTTTTTGCAGACATTTTGGCAAAAAGACTGAAGAGAGTGTTGGTAGGGGAGATTCATAAGGACCAAACTGGCTTTCTTCCAGGGAGACATATGTCAGATAATGTGAGGAACATTATAGACGTTTTGGAACTGTTAGAAGTGGACATTAATAGGAAGGCTGTTTTAATTTTTGTGGATGCGGAGAAAGCCTTTGATAATATTTGCTGGAGCTTTATGAAGAAGAATCTCCAAGGGATGGGGGTAGGCCAAGGTTTTGAAAACGGTATAGGTGCAATATATTCTAAACAAAAAGCAAAGTTAATTGTAAATAATGTGGTTACGGAAGAAATACCCATAGAAAAAGGTACACGACAGGGATGCCCAATATCCCCTTTACTTTTTATATCAGTCCTGGAGGTTTTGTTAAACATGATCAGAGGGGACCAGTTGGTTAAAGGAGTTCAGGTCGGAGCCAGACATTACAAGCTAAGGGCATTTGCAGATGACCTAGTATTGACCTTGCAACAGCCAGATACTAGTACTAAAAGAGTATTAGAACTAATTGAGATATTTGGTCAAGTAGCAGGATTTAAACTGAACAAACAGAAAACGAAAGTGTTGGAGAAAAACCTAACATTGGCCGAAAAAGAGAAGTTTCAGAGTGAAACAGGTTTAGTGACAACGAAAAAAGTGAAGTACCTGGGGGTAAACTTAACATCTAAGAATGTGAACTTATTTAAGGACAATTATGACAAATGTTGGACAGAAGTAAAGAAAGATCTAGAAATATGGTCAAGGTTGAGACTCTCCTTGTTAGGCCGAATTGCTGTCATCAAGATGAATGTATTGCCTAGAATGTTGTTTTTATTCCAGATGTTGCAGATTTTGGACAAGATGGACTGTTTCAAGAAGTGGCAGAAAGACATATCTAAATTTGTCTGGCAGGGCAAAAAGCCCAGAATAAAATTTAAGATTTTAACTGATGCAAAAGATAGAGGGGGGTTTGCCCTGCCGGACTTAAGACTCTACTATGAATCGGCAGCTTTCTGCTGGTTGAAACATTGGCTGCTTCTTGAGAATACAGACATCTTGGATCTGGAAGGGTTTGATAATAGATTTGGCTGGCATGCATATATATGGTATGACAAGGTAAAATTGCATAAAGGTTTCAAAAACCATATTGTTAGGAAAGCGTTATACAATGTTTGGATGCGGTGTAAAGATTTATTGGAAAGTAAAACTCCCAGGTGGTTGTCACCAATGGAAGCCAAAGAGGTGAAAAAACTCAATATGGAGTCTAAATGGCCAAAATACTGTGAAATTTTAGAACAAGATGGTGAAAAAGTTAAATTACAGAGTTATGAGAAATTAAAGTCCAAAGTACGAGACTGGTTGCATTATCTTCAGATAAATGAGATATTTAAACAGGACAGGAAAATAGACTTCCAGATGGAGAGGTCAAAATTAGAAACAGAATTGTTAGAACCCAATACTAAGAACTTGTCAAGAATGTATAATTTGCTGTTGAAATGGAATACACAGGATGAAACGGTGAAATCAGCTATGATTAAATGGGCACAAGACATTGGTCATGACATTATGTTTGCTGACTGGGAACAGTTATGGACCACCGGTGTTAAGTTTACGGCATGTAATGCCTTAAGAGAAAACATAATGAAAATGATTTACAGGTGGTACATGACCCCAGTCAAGCTTGCAAAAATTTACCATTTGCCCAATAATAAATGCTGGAAATGTAATGAGACTGAAGGTACCTTTTATCACCTTTGGTGGACCTGCCCGAAGATTAAAGCCTTTTGGGAAATGATCTATAATGAAATTAAGAAAGTCCTTAAGTGGACCTTTCCTAAGAAACCTGAGGCTTTTCTCCTGGGCATGGTTGGCCAATTGGTGTCAAGGAAGGATAGGACGTTTTTCATGTATGCCACTACAGCAGCAAGAATTCTTCTGGCAAAGTATTGGAAGACACAAGAACTACCCACTCTGGAAGAATGGCAGACGAAGGTGATTGACTATATGGGACTGGCAGAGATGACCGGCAGAATCCGTGACCAGGGGAAAGAGACAGTGGAAGAAGACTGGAAGAAATTTAAAATATATCTTAAAAATTGCTGTAAAATTGAGGAGTGTTAAGATGTTAAGGAACTAAGAAATAGAGAATTGCAGCTGTAATCAATAAGTTAAAGAAAAAAAGAATCTAATGAAAGTGAATTAAATAATTAGTTAATTGGAGGAGTTGCTAAAGAAATGTAAAACAAGGATGCAGAGAAGGGGAGGTATGGGGAAGTCCGGGAAGTAAGGTGTATGAAAATAAGATTATGAAATTATACATGTTTATATGTTTGTATGTTTTTGTTTTGTGTATTATTTGTTTTTATTATGTGTTTGGAAAATTAATAAAAATTTATTTTAAAAAAAAATGATTGGAAAATGCAGTTTGTTTTGTTTCTGCCTTTTTTGTGTTCTCAGATGTCAAAGTTAGCCTCCTGGCCCTTGTACGTTCAGCATACTCACAGCAACAACCCGTCATAATGCATCCCTGGTTAGGGCTTGCAGTGGTGGACCTTAAGGCGTATCTCATGTAGCAAGGTGGCAACATTCCCTGGAGAGAAATGCCCCATCTGGACCATCCATGGGGTTATACTTTGGCTTTGGTCCTGGGCTCAAGCAGTGTGTTGCACAATTGCTATTAAAGGAACCAAAGAAAGCTAATTGCACTTGGGATACACTTGTCCAATTAGAAATGAGCCCAGTTAGAATTTATATAGCCCCATGGTTCTCTTTTTTTAAAATAATAATTTTTATTAAGTTTTCCATTTTAACAATCCAATCAAATCACATTAAATATTCCAAATTATGCAAATACAAATCATAAAGTCCAAATATTTTGCTAAATTATAAATTTTTGTTGGGGCTTCCCATGCTTCAAGTTCAGCGGGGTCCAATCATCTTATGTTTCTACTGCTTTGAGTGTCCAATAGTTCCTTCTTTAAATGTTCCTGCTGTTATCCTTCTTTCTTTCATAGCCTCTGAGTTGTTTCCACAGGCGAGCTGAAATGAGCAATAATATGCTTCTGTGTGAACTCTGTGTGACTCTCCTTTTTTCCCCTTCAGCTGGTAAGTCTTTTATTTGCAGTATGTCCTCACATGCTGGTGTTTATGTCGAATCAATCCAAAAGTCCTTCTCTGGTGGCAGACGCCATCTTCTCTCAATTCCAATGAAATAAAATCTAGGCGTTTGCTCATTAATTTTCTCAGACAGGTTGCACCAAACATTAGTCTTTCCAGAGGAGGTTTGCCAAATCGGACTTGAAATACAGATATAATAACAAAGTAAGAGCTCGCCTCCCCCTATGACTATTAATCTCTGCAACTCAGTCTGTCTCATAATGGCGGATCCTGATTAAAGGTGCGTCACAGGAGAGTCTTTTATCTTCTTCCAAGTATTTCAAAGAACAAAGGCTTTAGTTAATATTATTATTTCCACACAGTTTATATTTTCCAATCTCACTTGCTATAAGTAAATGTAGACGGTTCTTCAGGGGGAGGGGCTTGTTAGGTATTATCATAGTAGAAAAAGAAAAAGTTTTATCCCCCCCTTTCCGTTCCGTTGCAACATACCGGTTTAGATGTTATTCTTTGATGTTATCTTTCTTCCTCCCGTCATTCTTGACACCTCAGTGGCTGTAGTTGGCAGATTAACTACCCTTTCTTCGCCTGAAGCATGTCCAAAATTCTTAAATCCAATCTTTATCTTAAGAAATGAAACTTGAAGCGCTCACAGAGACAGCGTCCAGCAGATCCGAACTCCCTCGGGGCTTTCCATCCAGTGCCCCCACCCCCTCCTTCTTTACGAACTCGGGGGTGGTTTGTGGGCAGCTGCGGATGAGACTGCATCTTCCCTTCCACCGGGAAGTATTTGGGAGGCTGATTACTCCCATCTCAGCCTCTAAATTACCTCGTGGGAGCTGGAGAGATGGTATTGTTGGCCATCTTCCGTGGCGCCCCTAGCGGAGCCCCCTAGCCCCATAGTTCTCAACCCCTCAAACCAACCTGTTAAAAACCATTCTAAAAAGGGCAGTTGTCTAAATTAGTCAATTTAACTCTATATGGGATCATTCCTGCTAAATCAAAACATATACCCTTCCTGTTATCTGGTCTTTCCTGGATCCTGAAGCTTCTCCATGGTAAAACAAATTAAAACAATTTAAAAATGGGTAGAGGTTTGCACACTGAAGAGGTGGGATGAGGAAATGTGGTCATAAATTGATCTAATCTAAATATTGAACTACACAATAGCCTGATCTATTAGAAAGCATGAAGTGCATGAGAATCCTCCATGCCATTGGAGTGTAAGCCAAACCCTTCTACTATTCATAAAAAGGCAAAGCTAAAGGACCCCTGACCGTTAGGTCCAGTCGCGGATGACTCTAGGGTTGCGCGCTCATCTCTATAGGCCGAGGGAGCTGACGTTTGTCCACAGACAGTTTTTCCGGGTCATGTAGCCAGCATGACAAAGCTGCTTCTGGCGAACCAGAGGAACACACAGAAACGCCATTAACCTTCCCGCCGGAGCGGTACCTATTTATCTACCTGCACTGGCATGCTTTCGAACTGCTAGGTTGGCAGCAGCTGGGACAGAGCAATGGGAGCTCACTCCATCACGGGGATTCGAACCGCCGATCTTCCAATCGGCAAGCCCAAGAGGCTTGGTGGTTGAGACCACAGCGCCACCAACGTCCCACTTCTACTGTTCATAGGTATGCACTATACATTAAACATAATAACAATTATACACAAAATTGGGTCCCCCCTCTGTGGGAGTAATACATAATTAGCAAAAACAAAAAAAATTCCTTCCAGTAGCACCTTAAAGACCAACTAAGTTAGTTCTTGGTATGAGCTTTCGTGTGGTGGGAATGGGTGATTGGCAGATAGCTGTGATGAGCCTGTTGACGACTCTTGACGACTGCAATAGGTCTTGCAGGAAAAAGCAAGGGGTGAGAAGGCTCATCACAGCTATCTGCCAATCACCCATTCCCACCACACGAAAGCTCATACCAAGAACTAACTTAGTTGGTCTTTAAGGTGCTACTGAAAGGAATTTTGTTTTGTTTTGACTATGGCAGACCAACACGGCTACCTATCTGTAACATAATTAGCAGACATAGTTATTCAACATTCCTACTTAATAACACAAAATACATAGAAGATACTATTTACTAGTCCTATATTAGTTGGATATCTTGAGGCAATCATGTAATTTTGAGACTATTCTTGCTGCTTGTACACATATCTTTAACCTTTAAGCACAAGGGCTGGAGGTCAAAAAGAGAGAAAATGTCCTTACAATACAACTTTCCCCTGTTTGTCAGCCCCCCCCCATTAGTCCAAGTCCTTTATGGAAAGAAATGGCGGTGGCCACTCTGATGTCTTTTGGCCGGCAAGGCTCTTGAAGCAATGCAGGCTGTTTGTTTTCCCCCACCAGTTTCCAGTAACACATCCACTGAGAAGTGGAAATCTATTGGAGACAATTTGTCAAATCACTGCCCTGCCTGCCTGCCTGCCTGCCTCTCTCTCCACCCCCACCCCGTTTTCCATAGTGTGGATTCCCAAAGACAATATCCCTGTGTGAAGATAGCATAATAGAAGAAAAATGTGTGTGCAACCTAGAACCTGTCTAGATCTTCAGGAAGAGCAGGTGCTATTCCTGAGTACACAGTCAAGCTGGAAGGGGTGGACTCTCCCTCAAGGAACATTTTTAGGCAGAGGCTGGAGGGTCATCTGTCAGGGACTCTCTTAACTATGCAAGGGGATGGACTAAATGACCCTTGGCAACACTTCCAACTCTACAATTATATAATTCTATGAACACACTTGGCAGCAATTATTAGCTAGGAAACTTTCTGGTGTTTATTTCATAAAATTTATATACCTCTTGATTGTAAAAAGAAAAATCTACAAAGTGTTGTTGAAAGGAGGATTATAAACCTGGCCAAATAAACCAGAATCTACTGGCTCATTTATAAATTATTCTAAACCCACAAGCCGGGCAAGTAAGAAGCATCAAAAGCCCACAAGGGGCTCCGTGGAGGGGTCGGGGGCCGCTTGCCTGCTCCTCCAGCTGGAGCCGTGGCTGCTTTGGCAAAGACTTCCCTCCCGGACACGCCTCTGGAACCCGCGTGTTGCCGACGCCACGTGTGAATGCGGGCTGCAAAAGTCTCGCCGCCAAGAGCCAAACAAAAGCGGGCTCCGAATTGGAGAGCGGGCGGGGCACACACAGTCTGGAAGGAAGGGCACTCTGCCCATGGTCAGGGGATCCTCTCCCCCCACCTTCCTTCCTTCCGAGAGGGCTCCGTCCTCCGCCGGGACCACCGAGTCCGAGGGAAGGAGGGGCCTTTTCCCTCCCGGCGCCCTTCCTTCCGCATCTATGGTTCCTGGTTCCGGCGGAAGCGGCCGGTTGCGCATGCGCGTCTCCTTTGCCTCGGGCGACCGGCGGGCGAGGCGGTGAGTGAGGCGGGGGGGGGGGGCCCAGCAGGCGCGGCGCCTCCAAAGGAGTCCCGGGCAGACTGCCGCTGGGCCTGGAGGCTCCGTGGTGCTGCGGAGGGAGGCTCAGCTGCGGCCCCGGCCAGAGCCACTCTGCCTGGTCGCCACCCCCTTTTATTGATTTTCAGTTTTATACACTTCAATAATTTTGCAATCATTTTAACATTTCAAAACTCGACTTCCTTCCCCCTCTTGATTTTCCTTACATTTATTTTTAATGTTTTCTGCATATTCCAAATTAATTTACTCATTTATTCATCTACTTTAAATACATACTCTCTTAAATCTGCAGGTTATTACAGTAATCCTGCCAATGTTCTTATCTGTTTAGTTTGTTTGTAAATATTTAATAAATATTCAATAAACCATTTCTATTATTTTATAAAAAGTTTGTTATTTTGATTTCTTATTTTTCTGGTAAGTTTCTCTATTTCTGCATATTCCATAAGTTTTTGCATCCATTCTTCTTTCGCTGGGACTTTCCCTTTTTGGGCAAGCAACATTCTTGCCGCTGTAGTCTCATACATGAATAAATTTCTATACAGTTTGGGTTTGGGTAGTTCTGTCCCTATAATTCCCAAAAGGAAGGCTTCTGGGATTTTTTTACAAGTTTGTCATTTTAAACATCTTTTTCAGTTCATTATATATTGTATCCCAGTAAGCTTCAACCTTACTACAAGACAGCACATATGATAAAAAGAACCTGCCTGGTCGCCATCGCTAGCCTTACCACCCTCTGTGAGTTTGCCCAGTCCTCTCCGGAGGCCCTGCGAGTTAATAGCCACCGCTGCCTACTGCAGGAGGGAGTTCCGTCACTTAACAATGTGCTTCCTTGGGTCTGTCCTGAATCTTCCAACGCGCACCTCACTTGTCATCATTATTATATTTCTTTGTTGCATTTAGGCACCACCTTTTCTTTCAAGAGCTCAAGCTGATTCTCCCCCTCCTGGGTCCCCACAACAGCCCTGTGAGGTAAGCTGAGGCAGTGACTCCCCCAAGGTCACCCAGTGAGCTTTATGGCTAGTTGGGGAATTCAAACCCTGATCTCCCAGGCCCTCATCTGACACTCTTAACACCAATGTCATGTGCTATGAGAGGGAGAAGAGCCTCTATTCACTTACTCCTATCTTGTCATACCTCTTGCTCACCTTTTCTCTTAATTAAAAAGTCCCAAAATCGGGGAGGCACACATACCCTTAATCATTTTATATTGGGGTAATTGTAGGAATAACCAGGAGGGAGAGTGGGCAGCAGCAAAGGTTAAGATTGTAGAGGAACCTGGGGCCAGGTTTAGGAGTAGAGTCAAGGTGGCTTGTGTGTGTGCCAGAAGACAGTATTTTGGGAGATGAGGGGCAGGCAGGGGATCACATATAGACAAGGAGTGGGGAAAGGAATGGTCAGAGGGAGAGAGCTAGGTCAGGGAGCAGGTTGAGGGGTTGGGGAGTGTGCACAGGGAGCTTCCTGGGTTATTTCTTCATCTTCTGCTTCCTCTCCCCATACCTATGCCAGTTTCTTACTCCAACAAGGCATCATGTCGCTGTCCCATTTGTACGGCAAAAATGACGCTGCTGCTGATGACGATGTGGAGATGGAGAAATTTGAGATCACCGACTGGGACCTTCAGAATGAGTTCAATCCCAACCGGCAGCGCCACTGGCAGACCAAGGAGGAGGCCACCTATGGCATGTGGGCTGAGCACGATTCTGATGATGAGAGGCCCAGCTTTGGGGGCAAACGGTACTGGCCCCCCGAGGAAGTGATCGGGAATGTTGTGATTTGTGAGGCTGTTCTTGAAGGTTCTGCACCCCTGTTTCCAAACCCTTGATTAACACCTCCCTTGATTGTATATGTCAGCTTCTGATTTTGCGTTATTAACTTGACAAGTAGCATAGATGTCTCTCAACAGTGAATTTAATCAGGAAAAAGCTATCTCATGTCTAAATGCATATCTGTAGACTACAGAAACATCTCTGAATAAATGTATTTTTTCTTAACCCAGGTCTAAAGATTACTCGGCGCCTGTTAACTTTATCAGTGCTGGGCTAAAGAAGCCAGCAGCTGATGAGATAACAGATGAAGATTCTGATGAGGATGAGAAGCCTCTGAAGCAGGAAGAAATCCCCAAAGAGTTTGTGCCAAAGAAGTTAAAGACAGTGAGTTCTTAGTTAATTGGGCCATAAATCACTGCATTTTAATTGTGGTTCTGGAGTGTCTTAAAGAACCTCAGGAAGCACTAACCGCAACAGGAAGAACCACACAGTCTGGATTTTGTTGGTGTGGAATGTGCACAGTCTCAACTATAAACACCCCAAATAAATGTCTGGGCTGAGACACACCAGTGCTTTAGTAATAGAGCTGTCAGTAGAGCCAGGCACTGAATGAACTAGGACAGGGGTCAGCAAACTTTTTCAGCAGGGGGCCGGTCCACTGTCCCTCAGACCTTGTGGGGCGGGGCAGATTTTTTTTTTTGGGGGGGGGAATATGAATGAATTCCTGTGCCCCACAAATAACCCAGAGATGCATTTTAAATAAAAACACACATTCTACTCATGTAAAAACACCAGGCAGGCCCTACAAATAACCCAGAGATGCATTTTAAACAAAAGGACACATTCTACTCATGTAAAAACATGCTGATTCTTGGACCGTCCGCCGGCCGGATTTAGAAGGCGATTGGGCCAGATCCAGCCCCTGGGCCTTAGTTTGCCTACCCATGAACTATGATATTTAATTCATCTTTTTGTGTGTGTTTTAACAGGGTGGCAATTTCAAACCGAGCCAGAAGGGCTTCATAGGAGGAACCAAATCTTTTATGGACTTTGGTAGCTGGGAGAGGCATACAAAAGGAATTGGGCAGAAACTTCTTCAAAAAATGGGCTATGTGCCTGGAAGGGGCCTTGGAAAGAATGCTCAAGGTATGGCCCAGCACCCCACTTGATTTGTTGTACAGGCTTTTAAAGAAGACCCCAGGAAAACAAAAACCAAGTTGGTATCTGCCTTTCTTTCTCCTTCAAGCAGAATCAGCCTATCAGTTAATTTTGATCTGTATGTAAAACTGGCACAGAAATTGTAAACCAGCCTTGGCCAACCTGACCGTCAGCTGTGCTGGCAGAGGCTGATGGGACTTGTAGTTAACACATCTGGAAGGCACCAGGTTGGGGAAGGCGTTAAACAGTGGCTACTTGCAAAGATTCTGGTTAACATGAAATGTCCAGATAGGAAAATTGCACTTCATCCAGGATGAACAGTAGGGGAAGCAGCAGCACTCCTTTCCCAGAGTGCCACAGGGCTAATTAACTGCCTGGCCCTTTAAGACCAAGAGATGCAACCCCATCAGCTCTTTTTGATGTGGGTGGGGAAATATATGGGGGGCAGGCTTTCTGAAAATAGAAGAGCCAACCAGGGCTCAAGCGCAGGGAATAGTAGAGCTGCTGCTGGGCTATTTTGCCTCCCTTTCCAGGCAGCTCTGATCATTCTGTGTTCTTATATTCACTTCACTAACAGCTGTGAATTTTCTTAGGTATCATCAACCCTATTGAAGCTAAGCAGAGGAAAGGCAAGGCAGCCATAGGGGCGTATGGCTCTGAGCGAACCACACAGTCCTTGCAGGACTTCCCTGTTGTTGACTCAGACGAAGAGGCAGAGGAGGTATTCCCGCCCCCCCTTTCCTTCTCCTCATTTCTCCCCCTCCCCCAACTCTCCTCATTGCCACATTTGGGGACCTGTGTGGAAGAAATGTAGTGATTTCTTACAATGGTGTTTACATCCTAACAAAAACTGCCTTCTGCATTTGACTGTTGTATCTGGCTCTGTGCATGAGAGCAGCTGTGATCCCTGCACTGCAGAGGGTTGTACTAGATGATGCTTTGGGTCTCTTCCAACTCTACAATTCTGTGATTCTTTCTTCCCTTGGCAAATGTTTAAACGGGGTACAAAGCAGTTCTTGGAACCTGGGTTGGCAGTTCATTTCTGTACACATAACAACTTATGTTGGCAGCTGGTAGGACTGAGAGAGTTAAAGCCTTGCTTTTTGCTTTCAGGCATGTCCTGTAGAAGACCATATTGTGGACCAGAGCTAGGGTTGGTTGGTGCCTGTTGGCGCAGACCTTTAAAAGAGTGAACCCCCCCTCCCCTCCCCTGGACATAGTCCACTGGCAATATTCCCTGCTCAGCCCCAGACCAAGGAAAGGGTTTGGTGCTCTGCAGTCCCCAGTGGAGTGTTTCCTCCTCCATCTTGCACTTCTCCCATCTCTTCTTTCATCCCAGGAGTTCCAGAAGGAGCTCAGCCAGTGGCGGAAGGACCCAGGTGGGGGCAAGAAGAAGCCAAAGTACACCTACAAGACTGTGGAGGAACTGAAAGCCAAAGGCCGGGCTGGGAAGCAACTGTCGGCACCTCAGAAGGAGCTGGCACAAGTGAAGGTGAGGCTGATTGTCCAAAGCAAGATGGGGCAGGTTTCAGAAAAACTTAGAAAGAGCCTGCTGGATAAGGCCAAGGGGGCCCCATGTAGTTCATCATCTTCTGACAGTGGCCAACCAGCTGCATGTGGGAAATCCACAAGCAAGGTCCAAGCATGAGAGCCCTCGCTCCTGCAGTTTCCAGAAACTGGTCTTTGGGAGCATTGCTGCCTTCAACAGTGGAGACACAGCAGAGCCGTCCTGGCTAGTAACTACTCAGAGCGCTCTCCTCCTGGCTCGTTCTCTGACCTTTGTCCTCAGCGAGGGGGAGCTTTGACTGGCTTGTAACAGGTCCCTTTGCTGAGGGAAATACAGAAGATGATGACTATCTCCAGGATGAGCCAAGGAAGCTTTTCTCCCAGGTTCAAGAGTTAGCTGTCTTTCTTTTTCCTTAATATTCCTCCATGATTGAGGTTGTAAGCAGATGACTGGCATGACCTATTCTGACCTGTTAGCTCTTGTGCCCTTTCATGCTGGCAAGTCCAAACCTGCCTCTGTATGTAATGCTTGAAAAGCAACAGAGAGCTCTGCTGCATTCTGGAACAATTGCCTGGCTTGATTTGAACTGGAAAGGGAAGTCAAGAGCCCACGTGCTCCCTAGAAGCCCAAATCCTTGACATACAGAAGTACAGCTCTTAAAAATGGGTGTCTGTGGTTAATTTCATTATTGGCTCATGAGGCCTAGGGCTAAGTCCTGCCCTGTCCTCTGAAATAAATGGTAGTCAGCCCTTGGGTTTCCCAGGAGAAGAGGGCAGTGGCGGAGCCAAGGTCACACTGGGGTAAGTAGGAGTGGAGAGACATGCCCTGACCCTTGTGAACCATTCCCTTGGAGCCTGCAGACGGTCCCATCACTGCAAATGGCAAAAAGTGTTGGGCTGTGCTGGGCTCGTTAGAAGATGCAATGTAATTCTGCAGTGTACCAAACTTAGGTTTGCATCTGGAATATGCAAGCTTTGGAATTTGAATTGACTGGACTTTGAAAGGTCGCCTACTACTCCAGCAGCCCAAATTGGCCCTCTGAAAAGTATTGTTTTACCCTCTTTGTATAGATTCTGCTCACCAGGACACCACGAAGCAGTACCTGCTGTTGGTTGAAAGTGGTCTTGTAACTTGTTGCGGGTTTTCTGTTTGTTTGTTTGCTTGTTTGGAAGGTGATTGACATGACCGGCCGGGAGCAGAAAGTCTATTACAGCTACAGCCAGATCAGCCAGAAGCACAACATCCCTGACGACAACCCCCAGCTGCCTCCACCGCTGGGCAAGGACTCCAAGGCGCAGGCCTTCAGTCTGCCTGAACTGGAGCACAACCTGCAGCTCCTCATTGACCTGACGGAGCAGGAGATCATCCAGAATGACCGGCAGCTGCAGTACGAGAGGGACATGGTGGTCAACCTGACCCATGAGATCGACAAGATGGCGGAGGTCCTGGAGCGGGAGGAGGCAGACACGCGCAACCTCAGCGAGGTCCTGGAGCTGGTGGAGGAGTGTGAGAGGCGGATGCAGCCCAACTGCAAGGACCCCCTGACCCTGCCTGAGTGCGCCAGGATCTTTGAGACCCTCCAGGACAAATACTACGAAGAGTACCGGATGTCCGACCGCGTGGACCTGGCTGTGGCCATTGTCTTCCCTCTCGTCAAGGACTACTTCAAAAACTGGGACCCTCTGAAGGTGGGTGGGTTCAGAGACCAGGAGCAGCAAAAGGGCCATGCCAATTGGGTGGCCAAACACCCACATTTGCTGGCCAAGCTCAGCTTCCCAAACCCCAATTGTCCTTCTGCCTATAAAGGGTTTCTTAATTACTTTTTTCTTGCTCTCCCTCCAATGAGTTTAGCAGGGGAGTGCAAACATTTTATTCTTTTTATCCTCACAACCAGTGGCGGAGGAAGGGGTGTGTGGTGGGTGCGGGCCACCCCAGGTGTCATCACTGAGGTGGGGGGGGGGACAAAATGACAAAAATACGAGTTTTTATATATATATAAAATAAATAAATTAAAATAGGGCTCACTAAAGCTTTTACTTCAGTCAACAAATGTAAAGAAATGCGGCTGACACTGGGTGCCATACTGCAGGAGCCGGCATTACTACGGGGCCTGCAGCGTGCCTGAGCCACGTGTATTTCCTGGGAGTGAGGTGGTGGCTTGAGCGCCTGTAGGCTTGGCGCTACCTGAAATGGCAGTGTGAGGCTTGCGTCTGCCCACTGCCTCTCCCTCAGCCTCCCTACAGCTGAAGGGGAGGCTGCGGAGAGGCTCCACGCAGCATGCCCTGCTCCCATGGGTGGCTCACCCCGCCCCCAGCTGCAGGATGCACGCGCCGCAGCGGGCACCTATGCCGCTTGCTCACAACAACCCTGTGAGGCAGGCCAGGCTGAGAGTGACTGGCGCATGGTCACCCTGTGAACTTTGTAGGTGCATCTCCCTAGCCAAGAGTCCTACACTCTGGCCATCGCACCCCAAAAGCGTCCAGGGTGAGGAAGAACACCTTACCAAATAGAAAGCCTTCCAAATAAACCCAATACGCCATGCCAGCCTTGGGGAAAGAGCTGTCCCCTTTCTCCAAATAGGAGCTCCCTTTTTTTCGTTTGACTCTCAATTGCCTTGTACACCTAACACACTGCCTCTCCTCTCCTCTCCAGGATCACATGTATGGCACTGATATCCTAGCCAAGTGGAAGAGCTTGCTGGAAAACGACCAGTTGCTGTCGCACGGTGGGCAGGACCTTGCCTCGGATGCTTTTCACAGGTGAACATAGCGTCTGTGCAGGTTTGGCAGGGAAGTTTCTCTCCAAGGGAGGAGCAGCCCTGTGCTGGTCAAACAGGCCTGGCTAATCCAATTCCTTCCTTAATGCTGCGGGGAGGATTTTCTTAATAATAATTATATATTGCACTTATTAGTTGCTTTTTTATAGATACAAAAGTAACTGAAAGTGCTTTACAAAAAAAGGGAGCACATAAATTTAAGCCAACATGCATTCATAATTATAAAAAGGCATTGAAGCAGGCCACATACCGTATTTTTCGCCCTATAGGACGCACTTTTCCCCCTCCAAAAATGAAGGGGAAATGTGTGTGCGTCCTATGGGGCGAATGCAGGCTTTCGCTGAAGCCTGGAGAGCGAGAGGTGTCGGTGCGCACCGACACCTCTCGCTCTCCAGGCAGCTATCCGCAAGCCTTGCACGCCCGGGGGAACTCCCCCCGGGCGCGTAAGGCTTGCAGGCGGCAGCCTGCAGCGTGGAGCACGGGGCGACCTTCGGAGGACGCCCCGCGCTTCACGCAGCTGTCCGCAAGCCTTGCGCGCCTGGCAGATCTCCCCCCGAGCGCGCAAGGCTTGCGGGCGGTAGCCTGCAGCGCGGAGCACGGGGCGCCCTCCGTAGGACGCCCTGTGCTTCGCGCAGGTGTCCGCAAGCCTTGCACGCCCGGGGGAACTCCCCCCGGGCGTGCACGGCTTGCGGGCGGCAGCTGGCAGCGCGGAGCACGGGGCGCCCTCCATAGGAGGCTGTGGAGGGTGGCGCGGAGCTGCCTGCGCTCCATGGCTTCTTGCAGCTCTGCGCCACCGGTGGCGCGGAGTTGCCTGCGCTCCATGGCTTCTTGCAGCTCTGCGCCACCCTCCGGATCCCGGCGCGAAGCCGTGCGGGGCTGCGGAGGGTGGCGCGCAGCTGCCTGCGCTCCAGGGCTTCTTGCAGCTCCACGCCACCCCCCGGATCCCGGCGCGAAGCCGCGCGGGGCTGCGGAGGGTGGCGCGGAGCTGCCTGCACTCCAGGGCTTCCTGCAGCTCTGCGCCACCCTCCCGATCTGGCCCGAAGCCGCGCGGGGCTGCGGAGGGTGGCGCGGAGCTGCCTGCGCTCCAGGGCTTCCTGCAGCTCTGCGCCACCCTCTGGATCCTGGCGCGAAGCCGCGCGGGGCTCCGGAGGGTAGCGCGGAGCTGCCTGCATTCCGAAGCCTGGTGCGCGCTGAAGAGCGCCCCCGGGCTTCGCGCACCTCTCTACAAGCCTGGGGAGACCAGTGCGGCTCCCTAGGCTTGCGGATATCAGGCTGTTCTGGGGGCTGGGGTCGGGGGAAGCTCAGGCTTCCCCCGCGCCTGCCCCGTGCCTGGGGAGGGGAAATTTTTTTCTTCTTTATTCCCCCCCCCAAAAAAAAATTAGGTGCGTCCTATGGGGCGGTGCGTCCTATGGGGCGAAAAATACGGTATATCAAAACCCTCCAAATCAAAGGCTGAAGGCCTGATGGAAAAAAAGTGTTTTTGCCTGGCACTTAAAAATACTGTAGATACAGGCAACTCCCACTATGTTGTCCAGTGCCAAACCTGGAAGTGACCCAAAAATGTCATAAAAGATGTCACTAACAGGGCAGGGTGGAGGGCTGCGGCAGCGGAACAGGGTGTTTCAATTACAGTTTCATGCAAGCACACAACCCCCACGCAACTGGGGAGACAATTCCATAAATGGGGAGCTACCACTGAGAATGGCACCCTTCATGCCTCCCTCAGAGGGAACACATGGAGAAGGGCCTCGGATGACTAACCCAGGCTCCAGGTTGGTTCATGCGGGGGGGGGGGGGGAGGTGGTGCTTGAGTTATTGGGGTCCTGAGCCACGAAAGGTTTCATAGGTCAAAGCCAGCACCTTGAATTGAGCCCAGAAGTGAATTGCAAGCCAGTTGTGCCAGAAGTGGTATTATGTGGTTCAGACTACCCCTGCATTGGTCAATAAAATTTTATTTCTCAATTTTTCAAATTTTATAAGCATCAGTTAAAAAGAAAAGCAAAACAATAAACTTATTCCCTTGGACTTCCCTTCCCCCCTTTTGTGGACCCTTATATTATAGTTTCTCTCCCTGCATCTCCTTAATAATTCCAATTTTTACTAAATCTTTACTGCGCTGGTCAATAAGCTGGCTGTTGACTTCTGCACCAGCTGCAGTTTCCAAATTGTCTTCAAAGGCAGCTCCACACATCATGCATTGCAGCAATCTAACCTGAAGGTGACCGTAGCATAGGCAACAACCTGCTTCATCCCTGACGTCAGCCTTGCAGGCTGGGTCTGATGGGAGCTGGGAGTCCAGCAAAAGCTTTGGAGCAGCCCATGCACCTCCTTTCTCTGGCTAAGGCTTGAAATGCAAAAGCTGATGACATGGAAAAGCATTTTGCTGCCTATATACCCTTGAGTCCATCAAACTTGCTTAGGCATGTGTACATCACGAGAGAGAGATTTCAGACTTGCCCTAAGCCCAAGAGAGAAGCTGGGAAAGGAGGTTTTGAAGACACAGTAGCTGCATTTGCATTGTCCATCAGAAGGAAATCTCTTAAAGCACCCCTAGTTCCTATTGAAGAAGCAAAGCGTGGTTTGGATCTGCCCCTGGCCCCGCTCAATTGAGATTTTTAATCCTTCAGGTTGATGTGGGAGACTTGGATGCCGTACGTGCGGAACGTGGTAGCACAGTGGCAGCCCCGGAACTGCATCCCGATGGTGGACTTCCTTGACAGCTGGGGGCACATCATTCCTGTTTGGATACTAGACAACATTCTGGACCAGCTGATCTGCCCCAAGTTGCAGAAAGAGGTAGACGAGGGGCTCTTGGGGCTCCTTTCAGGCACACTGGGCATTGAAGTTTCAGCAGGGCTTGTTGCGTGGGGCAGGAGGCTTAACCAGAAAGCCCTTGTTGCGAAGGCAGCGTGGTGTAGAGGTTAGAGCAGGGGTCAGCAACCTTTTTCAGCCATGGGCTGTCCCTCAGACCATGTGGTGGGCCGGACTATATTTTGGGGGGAAAAATATGAACGAATTCCTATGCCCCACAAATAACCCAGAGATGCATTTTAAATAAAAGCACACATTCTACTCATGTAAAAACACCAGGCAGGCCCCACAAATAACCCAGAGATGCATTTTAAATAAAAGGACACATTCTACTCATGTAAAAACACGCTGATTCCCAGACCGTCTGTGGGCTGGATTGAGAAGGCGATTGGGCCGCATCCGGCCCCCGGGCCTTAGGTTGCCTACCCTTGGGTTAAAGGAACAGACTAGAGCCTGGGAGACCCGGGTTCCAATCCCTATATGGCTGCAAAGCTCACTGGGTGACCTTGTACCAGTCACTGCCTCTCAGTCTGCCTCCCTCACAGGATTGGTGTGAGGGATTAAATGAGGGAGGAAAGAACTACATATGCCACCTTGAGCTCCTTGGAGAAAAAGGTGGGATAGAAAAGCAGTAAGTTAATGCCTCTGGGTGTCCCATAAGGCTTACTGCTGCTCTTGCTTCAAGGTGGAAAGCTGGAATCCCCTGACGGACACGGTCCCCATCCACTCGTGGATCCACCCCTGGCTGCCCTTAATGCACACCCGGCTCGAACCACTCTACTCGCCCATCCGCAACAAGCTGTCCAACGCCCTCCAGAAATGGCACCCCAGCGACTCCTCGGCCAAGCTGATCCTGCAGCCCTGGAAGGAGGTCTTCACCCCGGGGTCCTGGGAGGCCTTCATGATCAAGAACATTGTGCCCAAGCTGGGTGAGTCGGTCCCCCCAGGGCTGCCTTTGCAGCAGACCAGGAGGCGGGCGACTGGGGTTGGAGGCCTTGCGGGAAGCAGCCTTCTTCTAAAACAGACCACAGGTCCATTTAGCTCCGCATTGCCTACACACACAGTGACTGGCTCTCCGGGATTTCTGGCAAGGCATGTTCCCTGTCCTGCGTGGAGACAGTGACACGGGTTGAACCTGGACCTTCTTGCATGCAAAATGGGTGCCCTGCCTCTCAAGAAACCCTTCTGGGGTTAAGGAAGCAGGACTGTCCCACAGAAGCACATGCAAGAGGGGCAGAGACCAAAGCGTGGGCATGCAGAATTTGCACGTGCCTTAAACTCACTTTAATTCTTGCTGATCCAATGATTTGGGTTTGTTTGTTTGGTAGGTAGGTAGGGTGTCAGTTTGAGGCAGGGTGGATAGTGGGGTCAGGCAGGTAGCAGCCTCCGGAGCTGATTTTGGCTCTGGAACACTTTTCCTATTGGCTTGCTGTCTTGCTGAGTTACAAATTAAAAAAATTCCTTCCAGTAGCACCTTAGAGACCAACTAAGTTTGTTCTTGGTATGAGCTTTTGTGTGCATGCACACTTCTTCAGATACACTGAAACACAAGTCACCAGACCCTTATATATAGTGAGAGGGTGGGGAGGGGTATTACTCAGAAGGGTGGTGGGAATGGGTGAACCCTCCCCACCCTCTAACTATATATAAGGGTCTGGTGACTTCTGTTTCAGTGTATCTGAAGAAGGAACAGGGAGTTCAGCAGTTGCTCTCTTACAGCTTGAAAGAGCTTTTGGGATCCTCACTAGAGAAAGTTGTTTCTGAAGTGAAGGACATGAGGCAGGAGTTGATAATGCAGGTGAGCTGCGCACAAGTGAGCTGCATGCAAGCTGCCGGCCAGCTCTGTGGAGGCTCCTTTTATTGACACAAATATGCAAACCCAGGCGGATACATTTTGGGCTGTGACCTTTATACTTCTTCCAGTCCCGAGCTCGTGGTGTGGTACAAAGTTATTTTGGCACCTGTTTCCACCGCGTCATTTTCCCCTTGCACAGTGTATGACGAAGGAGACAAAGGTCTCAGAGACAAAGGTCACAGACAGGACATCGCAGACTACTGAGATCACAAAAGGTTAGACAGAGGGCACGATGTTCAGACAGCTGTGGCTTTGTCTGTGAGGGGGAGTGTGCTCCGCACCCCAAGGTCACGCATGCAGGCAGGCTGAGGCTGCCTGTGGGTGGGGAGTGTGCTCCGGACCCAGCGATCATCCCTACAAAGTTTATCTTGGTTGCAGCTTTGCTGGTTTCCCTGAGGGGAGAACATCAACAATTTTTTTTGGGGGGGGTGCACGTGCAAAGAAGTCCCTCTGCTCTCTAGGCTGAGCTGGTTTAAGCTTGCTGCCGTCTCCACATTCCTCCACAGGCTTGTGTCTGAACGAGCTGATGATCAACCCCCACCAGCAGCACATGGACTCCTTCTTCTGGGTGATGGACTGGGAAGGGATGATCTCTGTCTCTAGCCTTGTGGGGATCCTGGAGAAGCACTTCTTCCCCAAGTGGTTGCAGGTGTGTGACTCCAGCAGTGTCCGGCTGGGTTCAGCCACACTTTTTCTTAGGGACATCTGAGGTTGCCACAAACAGCAGTGTTGGGTTTTGTGAACTCACATTCAGTTCAGCTTTTGCTTAAGGGTGGCTCCAGGGAAGAGGCAGTAAGGAATCCCCACCCTGCCCCTGGTACCCCTGCTGAAATGGACTGGAGCCCTGCAGCTTGGCAGGCTCACCTGATTTATCTGTTTGCCACAAAACTTTTATTATGGCTGTTTTTAGAACAACAACAACAACAAAAGTGCAAAGTCCTCTCTCAAAGGCAGGTCTTCACCCATGTCTCATACAGAAGGGGGTGTCCCATCAGCTCTCACCTGGGAGCTTCCCTTTCCTCTCCCAGCCTCCCACCCTGGGAGCTCTTCCTTTCCTTGCCTCTCACACAGGGTCTTTCACCAGCCAGCCATCACCTTTGTGTACATACAGTCCAGAGTAGAGGACCAGAGAGATGTGATAACCAAGATTTACAACTCAGTTATCATTAATCACCACATAATTATCTCTGTCGAGGGACAGTTGACAAGAAACGTCTTGTGTGCTATCTTTCCTCCCTTTCCCTTCCTGCTCATCTGATCTCTCTGGACCTGCTTGGTTTTCTGGCTTCTCTGCTAGCAGGGGTGGATTGGTGTTGCTGGAACTTGTTTTTTTCCTTTTGACCAGTGCCCCCCTTTACAGTTCCATGTGAGCTGCCAGACTTCAGCAGGGGCTTTGCTGGCCCTCTCCTTTGGAAGTTGGGTGGCTTCTGGGTTTCCCTTGAAATACTTGTCCCTGGATCATAAATGCATCAGACGCTGCTTCCTCGTGAGCCTGTCCCGTCCGCAGCCCAAGTAAAGCCTTGAGTCCCTGATCTGTGAGCTCTGCCTTGGGGGGTGGGGTGGGTTGCTTGTGGTCTCCCTGCTGCTGACCCTCCTCCTCCTGCAGGTGTTGTGCTCCTGGCTCAGCAACAACCCCAATTACGAAGAGATCACCAAGTGGTACCTGGGCTGGAAGTCGATGTTCTCCGACCAGGTGCTGGCCCATCCCTCCATCAAGGAAAAATTCAACGAGGCTCTGGACATCATGAACAGAGCGGTCTCTTCCAGTGTCGGTGCGTGAGTGATGGTTGCCAACACAAATGTTGCATTGGCTGGGCAGTGAAGTAATTCAAGGATCATCATTGGAAACAGTCGCTCAAAACACTAGTGTCCCTTTTCATAGAGGAGGAAAATGGAAGAGACTGAGGCTGCAGAGCCCTGTAGAAGGGCCACGATTTTCACCAGCCTCAAGCGGCCATTGGGGAGGGTGGTAGTCCACATTTGGAGATCACCATTTGGGCAACCCTTGCTTTGCACACTTACTCGTGAGTAAATCCCACTGAATCCAAGGGGCCGTCCTTCTGAAGACACACACATAGAATTGCACTATGAGCTCCCATGTTTCTTATAGTCCTTTCCAGCTCTCCAGAGCAGTTGGTTCTCCTCTTCCTCTTTGCCTCAATTTCAGAAGGTCTGCTATTCCTTACCTCGTCAAAATCAGCACAGTGGGAGAAGAAACAGGGACTGCACTGACAGTGTATAGTTTATTAAACTATGGAACTTGCTCCCCCAGGAGGCCCCCAACTTGGATGGCTTTCAAGGAGGATTAGGCAGGTTCATGGAGGAGGAAAGGGCTATCAAAGGCTACCAGCCAGGATGTCTGTGCTCAGTTTCCCCTGTCAGAGTCAGTGATGCTTCTGAATACCAGTTGCTAGAAGCCACAGGAGGGAGAGGGCTCTTGTGCACGGGTTCTGCTTGCGGGTTTCCCGCTGGGGCATCTGGTTGGCCACCGAGAACACAGGATGCTGGACCAGATGGGCCCACTTGGGCCTGATCCAGCTGAGGGCTCCTCTTCTGCTTTTTGTCCCCTCGCTCCACCTTTCCAGCTCATTGGGCAGCCTTGCAGGCTGTGTGACCCCCTGTGTCCTCTTCCCTTGGGCTCTGGCTGTGTGCTAGGAGGGCGTGTGCAGAGCACAGGCTGCAAAAATTTGCCAGCTGCCATCTCATCTCTCTCCCTTTGCTCCTCTGCCAGGTGGCTACATGCAGCCTGGGGCCCGCGAGAACATTGCCTACCTCACACACACAGAGCGCCGGAAGGACTTCCAGTATGAGGCGATGCAGGAGCGCCGGGAGGCTGAGAACATGGCGCAGCGCGGGATCGGCATGGCCGCAGGCTCTGTGCCCATGAATTTCAAGGACCTCATCCAGACCAAGGCGGAGGAGCACAACATCGTCTTCATGCCAGTCATTGGAAAACGGCATGAAGGGAAGCAGCTCTACACTTTTGGCCGCATCGTCATCTACATTGACCGGGGTGTGGTCTTTGTGCAGGGGGAGAAGACCTGGGTCCCCACCTCCCTGCAGAGCCTCATCGACATGGCAAAGTGAGGACAAGGTGCTGGGACTCATGGGGCACAGCACTGCCTTGCAGGCTGCCTTGCCTCATTCACTGGGGACCGGGAGGTGCAGGAAGGCAGTCCCTGAGCGGGAGCTGCCCCAGTGCGTGTGGGTTGAGAGCTATGCTGAAACTCTCCTGCCAGGCTGCGGAAAGACCAGTGCAAACCAAGTGCATCTAATGTTGTGAGGTGTCTAGCCCCCTGTATCTAGGGCTGGGGGCCAAGTACCATAACCACTAAATCTGATTGGAAGCACCTCCACCCTTTGCTCAGCCTTAGTCCACCTGAGCTTCCAATCAGTGCATCTAGAAAATGCTGACGCCCTGAATAAAAATGTCAACTTTTTTTTTTTGAGCTCTGTTTTGAGATGCAGCAGCTAGAGTGAGACAGTAGTTCCAAGTGTGAGATCACAGCACTGTTGGTGCAGTTTGACCTGGCAGGAGTCAGGGCTTGCTCACAATGTTGAACAGGGAGGAGGTAACTGGCAATAAGAAATGACCACAAAAGTTCAATGTGTGTTGCTTTTAATTAAAAACATTATTAGAAATACAAGGTTTGTGGAGAAACTTGGTTTTCTGAGAAGTTGCTGCCTTAATTGTGAAGCAGCAGCTGGGAGTGTGAATGGCTCTCCCCCTTAATGAGGGAGCCCAGTCCTACTGGGCAGCTTGCCTAGCACCACCAGATCTCTGCCCCTTTTTCCATCCCATGAGGGAACTCTCATAGGAGGTACCAGACCAGAGTTGAACAGAGATAGTGGTGATGCTTGGGTTTGCCCCACTGATCCTCCCAAGCTCTGCCGCTCAGTGAACAAGCGAGAGAGAGACAAGGAGAGCTTTGGCATCTTGTGCATGCTGCGCATGCCTCATTTGTCCCATGGAGATGCCATAGAGCAACACACAAATAGACAGTGTGGCTAGTTATCTGCTTTAGGGTGGGGTGTGTGTGTGACATTAACATGAACATGAACTCTTTGCAACACCAGAAGTAACTCAAGCCCCTCTCCAAAGAAGGAAACCCAAACCCAGCCCTGCACCTCCAGTCCATAGCCTCTGGAATTGAATTTCATTTCTTGTTTCTGATGATCTCTGGCTGATCTTCATCTGGGTAAACTGGCTCCTCCTGAAGCTTCCAGATCTCTGGGGGAAGGTCCCTCAGTTTCTCCAGAGGAAAGCAGTGGACAGAGGTGTCGTTAAATATGTCCAAGTATTGAGGGTGAGAAGGAAGGGCTTCTTCATCTGTTGCTATTAAAACCTAGAAATGGTCAAGCACAGCAAAGAGGCAGTTAATGTTGCCCTCCTCCTTTCTCAAGGGCTGTTGATCTGGCCCTTGAGAAAGGAGGAGAGCAACAGGCTCAGATCCACAGCTAGCCACGTGCCACATTTATGAAAGCCCCTACACCAGATATTTTGACGACTCAGAATTCATCCCCTATGGCTGGGGAACCTGTGATCCTCTGTTGTCATCACCTGACATATCCCTCCAGGATGGAAATTGGAAATCCAGTCTGAGGGGTGACAGGTCCTTAGCTTTTCCATTACCTATCTTAACCACTGATCTCAGTATTTGTGTGGCATGCTTTCAAGTTTTACAGTGCCCAATAAGACTAAAATGGATGTGCAGATTCCAAAGCCAGCTCACATCAAAGGCTACTCAAGCAATCCAGCAGGTTCCGTGTCTGCTGGGTGCAGAGCAGCTCCACTCTTGTGTAAGAGCTCTGCTGTGCCCTGACCCACCAGATGCCTGTTTTCCACTGAGTGGGGCTTGATAGAAGGGCAGCCTTAGTCAGCTTGTTTTATGAGGGAGTTAGCTTGTAAAGAGAGTTGCCTTTGAAGCTGGGTGCTCAGCTCTTGGAACACTTTTATAAGCCCAGCAAAAGCAAAGCTGCTGAGAACACAGCCAAGCGGGAATAAGGGAGAAGAGTTGGTAAGCGTGGATCCCATCCCCCCGTTAGGAGCTGACGCATTAAGGGCTTCTGCTGGATGGTGAACAGTCGCTGTTATTCAAGCAACAAAGCCATACCTTTGCAATGTAACTGTAGTCCTTTTGGAATATCCTGCTCAGCACCCTAGGAGCAAAGGGCATTAGAAATCATTGGCAGTTGCAACAAAGGCAACACCACGGCCTACTAAGCAGAGGGTGCTGCTAAGCTAAGAACATCCAGAGGGTTTGTGGGTCTGGTCAAGAGCTCATCTAATCCAGCATCCTGTTCCCACAGGGACCAGCCACATGTCTGTGGGAAACTTGCAAGCCAGTTGAGCATAAGAGCGCTCTCCCTCTTGTGGGGAGAAGCAGCCCTCCCTCCAACTGCGGAGGCAGAGCAAAGCCTTCCCCATTCTGTGTGTGGTTAAATGCCTTCGGAGACTACCATACTTGCAAAAATTCTTAGGAAATCACTGCAAAAAGGAGTTGAATTTTCAAAACCCAGATTTTCCTGGGAAGACAAGTGGAAAATGCCAATTCTGTTCTTGTATAGACACTGGGCAGCAGCAGCCCTGCCTGCTCTTGGGCTGGGTGATGCAGAAGGGTTCCCTACCTGTCTTCAATGCCCTTGAAGCTGTTCCCTATGATGACCGTTTTGGAAAGGGCCTCTATGGACCAGTTGCTCCAGAGCAGGTTGTTATAGAGAGCTTTTCCGCAGTGGACCATGTAGAAGATGGTAGGATTGTGGATGCAGCATTTTCCCTCCTGGATGCAAGGAAGAGGGGTGTTATCTTGCAAGAACTGCAACCAACCCCCACCCCACAAGAGCTAAAGGAGTTAAACAGCTGTGAACCTTTGGTATCAATCATTTTGAGAAAGGCCACAGTCCTCAGCTGTGTGTTTTGATCCCTGGGCACGTTTCTCCCTGAGTTCGTGCTCCTCTCTTCCTGGAGCTCACCTCATTCTCCAGGAGCACAGTGAGCCCAAGATGGGCAAGGACTTTGATTTCCAGCGTGGAAAAGACAGGGTCAAATATGTAACACAGATCTTCAGGGATCTGCAAGGGGAGAGAGGGAATGTTGCCTGTGTGCTTCTGGCGAGCTTTGCTCCCAAGTCCGCCACAGCTGTGACCCTCACCTTCAGCTCCTCAAGCAGCAGCAGGAGGAAGGCCAGCTGGTATCGCGCTTGAACGCAAGAGGAGAAGTTCCCAATGCCATAACACACACACTGCAAGTCCTGGGCTCTGCTGCGGCTGGGCTCCTCCTGCAGCTGGGAGCTGGGCTCAAGAACTGACTCAGCTGGTGGTGTGAGCTGCAGCTTCTCAAAGGCAGAGAGGGCTTTCTCCACGGAAGGTCTGGTTACCCCCTTCCCTGCTGCTGGGTGTTTGGGGAGGGATTTTAAGATGGTTCCTGAGCAATGAAAGAGGGTGCAATATAGACTAATACCACTTCAGCCATGACTGCATCTTGCCTCCCCACCACCTTCACCCCTGGATAGATTTGCTTACAAACAGGCACAAATCCAAGGCTGTAGCTACAAAATAAAAATCCAAGGTCTCTCTTGAGATGCAAGACTTACCGAGGCTTGAATCCCAGAATTCTGAGCTCTGCAGTTCTGAACTGTCACAGAAAGGCAGGGAGAAGAGGAAGAAGTTATGTTACAGAAGGTGGGATTTAGGGCTGGAAGGATCTTGTGGGATCAGCAGGCTGGACTAGCTGGACCCTTGGTCTGATCCAGTAAGCCTCTTTATGATGGTTTTGAGGATACTAGCAGAAACTTATCAGGATTTAATCCCAGAACCTGATTTAAATGCAAGTGGATATGTGAAGTAATAAGGGAGCAGCATCCTTGAGCATACACAGAGTTCCCTGTTGGCCAACTGCTGCCAAATTGCCAACCCACACGTAACTTAGAAGTGTTAAGTTGCTACTGGACACACACACACACACACACACACACACACACACATATATATATACTGCAAATTAGAACCGTTTACAGACCAGTTCTGCAGCTAGTTTGGACTACAGTTCCCATCAGCTGCAGCTATCACAGCTGTGATGCTGCGAGTGATGGAAAGACAATAATGCTGGCTGAGGATAATGTGAATTGTAGTCCAAAACATCTGAGGGAACCAGCTCCACGAAGACCGACAGACCAAGGCGTCATTTCCAACAGCAGCCAGTCAGATACTTCAAGGAGGCCCCTTCACAGCTATGAGCCTTTGGGAAGCTCAGAAGCAGAGCAGGAATGCGGCACATTTCCCCTGGGATTTGCCCTGCAGCAGCTGGGCATTCAGAGGTAGTCTGCCGTGCCCAGGGGGAACCTCAGGCCCGCCTTGAAGCTGCATGTGGCCCTCTTGGCAAGCCGGGGCCGCCCCCTCCCCCGCGGGCGAAAATGCCCCGATTGCCCTCCTGCTGGGCTCTCCGACTCTGGCTGGAGTGCCGTCTCGGAAGTCCCAAGTCACGCCCACTGGCCCCGCCCGATCCTGGCCTGCTCCCCCGAGAAGGGTTTCCCCCGGAAGCCTCCCGGCGGCCCGCGCGTGATTTGCCACCCGCAGCTGCCCCTCGGGGTAGACTGCCCCTGCCCAAGGAGGATCCACGGCCCCTCACCACGCCTCCCGCAGCCGCCGCCTCTGCCTTTCTCCCGCGTCCTCGGGGCTCTCGGCCTCTCCGCCGCCCCGCTCCTCTCTCCGCCGCTGGCGCCGCCGCCTCCTGCTCCCTCCCGGGGCGTCCCAGCCTTCGCCCGCTCGGCAGCGCTCCATGCAAAGCCAGGGGCGAGCGCGATTCCACCAGGCGAGTCCCTCCGCGGCACCCGTAGAGACCATAGAGGAAAGGCGCGTGGCAGACACACCACTTCCGTTACTCTCACCCACTCGGCAGCCGCCATATGCGGGGCAGTAGCGACGCTACGACCGCCACTCCGCAACAAACGGTGCACAATATTGGGCAGGGAGGGCTCAGAGTTGGAGCCCGGGCAGAGGCAGCCCTTGGAGTGTCTCCGAGGGCGCTTCTCTTTGGCCCGTTCATTCCCTTTCTCCTCCGATCCGGTTCGATCGCAAACCGGATGTGTTTATTGCGCATTTCGCCCTAGGCCTCGGTCCGCCCCCTTCTCTGCGCGTCACGTGCGGGTCGGGCCGGTCATGTGACCGTTGAGCGCGTGGCGGTGGAACCCGGAAGAGGCCGGGGCCCCTTGGCGGCTTCTCTCTGTCTCTCAGGTTCGGGAAGTGGGCAGGCCTGGCCTCTGAGCATGGACAGAGCGCCCCTTTCCCCGCGGGGTGGGGGGGCTTCTGCGTTCTGCCGCCTCACACGCCGCCCTCTCCTCGCCGGACTTTAGCCCGGAGAGGGAGCCCGAGAGCAGAGGGGCCTCGCTCTCCCCCCCACGGCCTGGGGAGCCTCGTTCCTGTCCTTTCCCCCACCTCGGGTCAGGCTGCAGAGGCGCCTCGCCGAGAGAGCCCGAGCCCCGGTGGAGAGTTGGGCTCCCTGAGCTCACCAGTGGAATTGGGGCGCGGCCACTACACGCAAGCAGTTTCTTGGCTGGGTTTCTTCTCGTTTCCTTTTCAAAATCTTGCCCTTCCTTCAAGACACAGTGCCGTGTTCAAGGGGCAGGACCTCACAACAAACCTGCGAGGTAGGCTATCCTCGTCGGATCTTTAAGCCACCCTTGCCTAAGTCCTACTCTGACCCCCTTCAGCACTGCACCATCCTGGCTCTCTTGTTAAAATTGGATGCTGGGCACTTATCAGCTGCTGTGGGTCACATGACTTGGGCAGCAGACTTCATACGTTAATCCAGTTCTTAATTTTAGAGTGAAGGAAGCCACGCCTGGAGCAGGAATCACAAGACATTCCACACACACACACACACACACACACAGAGAGAGCTTCAAAGAATCTTGGTTTGGAAGCTTCAGCTAAAACGTTCTTCAGTCCCCAAACTGGCATCCAAATGGCTGCTGAGATGCTAAATAAGGTCTCTGTTGTTTCTCTTGTCCTGTCTGACTGAGCATCCATATTTGGTGAATGTGCTTGGCATGAAAATGACGCTGAGGGGGACCTGTTGGCATCAGCATCTGTAAGAAAGCCCCCCCCCCGCCACCCATTGGGGGGATTTGGCCATCCCTATTCAGAACCCACTCAGGACCTAAGTATGTGATGGGTTCTTGGAGCAATCAACCACTGTCTGCAATATGAATCTAGTCCTCTTCTACCTTTTTCTGATGAGAAGCTCTTTGTGAAGATAATGAGATGTGGTGAAGAGAATCTGAGTTAAATGGCGGACTGTGTGCAGTCTTATCCAACCTCCAGGGGCTGGTAAGTACCATTACAGCATCCTAGGGGCTGCTTCCTACAATCTTTCTCTTTAAAAAACAAACAATTGAAACTCCAACGTTGAGCAAATGAGAGTGAGAGTTTCAAGAAGGACACAATTCCTGTGTTTCTTTACACAGTGCATCCTTAAACTGTGGAGTGTGCTACCACAAGATGTGATGGCCTCCAATATCAAATTCATGGAGGAGAAGGCTATTTGCAGCTACTTGCTGCAGTGATTCTTTGTTATCTCTGACAGCAGAGGGAACATACCCCTGAATACATGTCGGCAGGGAATGGCAGCAGGAGAGGACTCTACTGCCGACATGTCCTTCTTGTGGGTTTCCCAGGGGCATTTGGCCGGCCACTGTAAGAAACAGGATGCTGGACTGCATGGCTCTTGGGTTATGTTCTTATTTAAATAAGGGTGGGCTGGTTGGTTTCATTTGCTTCGTACTGGGGCAGTGCCCTTCCTTAGTTTCTGTGGCAGCTTCTTTTAGCCTTCTTCAGCCCCTGTGTGTTCCTTTGAGATGCAAGGAGCAGGGAAGTGAAGAGTCTCTGACACACTTGAAACCTTTCTCTTAAGAAGCGTCAAGGTCACCTGGAAAGTCAGTAGCTGTACTTTGAATCTCTTCCCTTCTAAACATGCCTTCAAGAATTATGGAGTACAGTGGTACCTCGGGTTACATACGCTTCTGGTTATGCTTCAGGTTACAGACTCCGCTAACCCAGAAATAGTGCTTCAGGTTAAGAACTTTGCTTCAGGATGAGAACAGAAATTGTGCTCCGGCAGCGCGGCGGCAGCAGCAGGAGGCCCCATTAGCTAAAGTGGTGCTTCAGGTTAAGAACAGTTTCAGGTTAAGAATGGACCTCTGGAACAAATTAAGTACTTAACCCAAGGTACCACTGTATAGCTTCCCCACATCACCATATACGGATCCCCCTTGCCTGGGGAAAAACTAGGTTGCCCTCTGGAGAATATTGACTGCTCCCATGAGGTGATGCATCCTGAACGCCATGGCACTGATGTTTTCCAGGTGGAACTGCTTTTTCCTCTATGACGGCTCAAAGGTGAAGGAAGAAGGAGATCCTACGCAGGCTGGGATCTGCTATTTCAACCCCCGTCAGGTAGGGCTAGCTTATTTCCCCACAAAATCTGCGTGCGGAGAATTTTATTTGTTCTCAGTTGGCCCCGTAGCCCTCTCCTCCATCCCTCTGTGCTGGCAAACATTGTCCTATTTGCTCCTTGGGGCAGGGACCTAGTAATATCGGGGGTAGAGCTCTGTTCTGATGCAATCTTTTGTCACTCTGTGGTGGTTTTGTCCGTTCTTGCTCCAAGCTCGGCAGATCTCCATAGCCTGGGATGTGACAAGGCTAATCCATAGCATAACCATTTTGTGGCTCTTCATTCCCCACATCTCTCAGACTCCTCTGGACCATCAAGAGCTTCTGTGTGGACAGATAGCTGGCGTGGTTCGCTGCATGGAGGAGATTTCGGGCTCTCCACCTGGCCTCATACGGTTGAGGAAGCTCAAGCTCTCTGTGAAAGTGGATGGAAGCTACATCTGGGTGAGTCAGTGCAAGGCGACACAGGTTGTTGTTGCTCTTCTGGGCGTGGGAATAAAGCCCGAGGAAGGAATAAAGCTGGCGTTGGTGAAATCTTCAAAGATGGGTGTGGGTGTGCAGGCAGGCTGCATGATGGCAACCATTTATATGGGAAGAAGCTGCTAGCTGTGCTAGCTGAATGGAACAGAGGCAGCCTACCTTGGAGTGCCAGTTGCCAGGAGCAGACATGGGAGAGGGCACTGGCCTGCCATCCCTGCTTCTGGGCTTCTTGGAGCTTCTGGGATGTAAGCAACATGTTCATCCAGGTGATTCTCCAGCTCTGTTCTTGTGCTCCTCTATATAACATTGGGAGAACTTTGCTCTGATAGCTGAATGGAAGGCCCATGTTCAGAGGCAGCCTTCCTCCTGAGGGCCACCGATTGCCCTCCCACCTTGCTTGTGGGCTTCTCAGAGGGATGTTCTTGGCTGTCATGGGGGATCTGAATGGCCTGATTAGATAGGCCTGGCTTGGCTTGGTTCCATGGGACTCATCAAGAGTCTCCCTCCCTCCTCTCTGCTGCAGGTGCTGGGCTGCACTACTGACCTCCCTGACATCAGCTGCAGGCGGTTCCTGGAGCAGCTGATGGGACTCTTCTGCTTCTACAATGGGCCTGTTCGCCAGGCTTACATGGTGATTGCTGGTCCAAGGGGGCGGTGGGGCCTTGCTGAGCAGATGCTGCCTTGACTCCTAGCCATTTCGCTCCTGTTTCCTGTTGTGTTCTGACCCTCACATCAGCCTTGAGCCACACCTCTTAGTCTTGCCTTGGCTGACCTTCAGGCTGACCTGCTCTCTGCAGCCTCCTTGCCCTGCAGAGGGGCTTCTGCAGCCTGCTGCAGCCTTCCCTCACAGGTGGGCTTCTCTAAGCAAAGGCTTTTGTGTGACTTGAAAGTTATGTGGGTCTCTCAAGGCAATCCAGACCCACCTCTCCTTCCTACCCCCCAAATCCAAGATGCTCAGAGGCTGGCCGTGGGGGGAAAGCCCTTTGCAAGGGCCTGGGCACATTTCCACCTTGGCTGCTCCTTTTATTTGTCCTCCAGAACGGAGTCCTGATGTGCAGATCTGCTTCCCGGACTGAAATCTTGAGTCCTGTGGAATCTTAGGGACCTCTTCTCTTCCGTTTTGCTGCCCTGGCTTCTGTTGGACAGTTTCCTGCAGCCCACAAGCAGCCTGTAACTCTCCCACCAGGGATAAACTCTCCGCTGACATGGCCTCTTGTGTCCTTTCCCAGGAACGTGCCCAGGAGGAGCTGGACCAGGCATGGGATCGCTACGTGGAGCACCTGCAGCAAAACACCACTGACCTACACCGGATCTTCAACTCCCTCTGGGCCTTGGACAAAACCAAAGTAACTCCCTGCAGACCTTGCTGCTTCTTTGGGGCTTCTCCCCTCCCCTCCCCTCCCCTCCCCACAGGGTGTCAGGAAGCCCTGACAGCCTCCTTTGTGCTCCTCTCTCCAGGTGGAGCCTTTGCTCCTGCTGAAAGCGGCTCTCATCCTGCAGACCTGCCAGCGCACCCTCCATGTCCGGGCGGGATGCATTTCTTACCAGGGGCTGTGAGTATCATGACTTCTTGTGTGGACTCTCCTGCACTCTCTCCATTGGAGAAAGGCTGGTGTAGCTCAGTGCTGGAGCACCTACTCTGCATGTAGAAGGTCCTCAGTTCAGTCCCTATTGGCATCTCCAAGGTGGGCTGGAAAAGACAGTGCACAGCTGAATGGACTACGGACCTGACTTGCTCCAGGTTAAATGAGCCCTTTCAGAAAGCTGAGGACTGGAAGCTTGGCTTTTAAGAGAAGGACTGTAGCTCAGGGCTGGAGCACCTGCTTTGCATCCCCAATAGCACCTGCTGGGAGAGAGACCCCCCTTGCCTAGAACCCTTGAGAGCCACTGCCAGCCAGTGTAGACAGTACTGAGGAAGGTGAACACAAATAGTCTGACTTTGTCTAAGGCAGCCTCCTGCACTCCAGAGCAAGTGTGTTTGGTGCACATGTCGTTCAGCCCTGCTACTTGCTCTGTACTGTCCTCACATTTGTCCACAGAGGCCATAATCCACATCTTCACCCACTATTTCCTATGTCTGCTTATATAGACTCACCCTTTGGGCCTCCCAGATGGTGAGATTGACAGGGTGACCAAAGGACTTGCCCTGCATGCAGGGAT